CAACTTCGTTATCATTATCATTGTCGATAATTTTAATGGTCTTCGGTGGTATAAAATCATCCTCCTGCTCACAGTCCAGGACGGCACAGAGCCAGTTCCACAGCGCCTTGTCACTTTGTTTCGATGGAAATTTCGGATAGAGCGTGTTCTTTAACTTCTCGTTGTAGGTCACATCATTGTTGTAGATATTGCGGAATTTCACAATTTCACCGCGAAACTGAGTGTAGTAATCAACGCAGGACTGTATTTCCGTGCGCACCTCCTCGGGTATCTCCTTATCGGGCAGCACTGAGTATTGCATTAGCATCGGTCGTCCATATTCCATTGACTGTTTATTCTCATTTGGGGGCACTATCCAAATACACTTAACCACCGACTCAAGAGTGGGATTCTCCTCATAATAGGGTGCTGCAAAGGTAATAAGACCAATTAATTTATAAGTTGTCTAATGAATATACAATTACTTACAAATGATTAGTGAAACACATGGCGTATACGTCAGATCGCTGACGCCTCGCATTCGTATCTGATAGTCGAGCTGTGCATCGCAATCGCGCAGAGTGGGCTCGGCCTGAAATTTGGGATGCGAGTGATACCAGCCGACGAGCAGCACTTGATCTTGTATCATCATTTTCTGTATATCCCGCTCGACTTCCGCAGCCCGTTGTCGATCGAAGCGCGTGCTACGACACGGATATGTTTTCGTAATACTCAATGCTGCAAGGACAAAGAACAGTTTAATGTGATCTCAAGCGTAAACAAGTTCAATTCTCGAAGCCGGACTCACTGTGCGTGTTCATATCCCAGGTGCCGCCCAGGTAACCGCACACCTCGCGCATCGTCAAATGACAATGGAAGTCAGCCAACAGCAGGGCGGAGGAGGTGATGGTCAACAGAAACGGCTGCAATTTGCCAACCGAAGTGAATGGAATGGCCTCAATCATCATATTGGCATCACTGCAAGAAATACACTCATTAAAACATGTGTTACGGAAATCATTTATACAGGAACTTACTGAATTATATTGCGATTGGCAACCGTGTTGTGTGGAAATACTGTTCGTTTGACAACCAGATCTGGAGAATCGGTCTTGCGTTCTGTATCTTATTAAAAAATATATAAAGATATTATTTTTAATATTAAGTAAAGGACTAAGGCTACAATCATTTAAGAATAGTATTCTATCTTTAGGACACAACTAAGGCTGTTGTTTTATACAACATTAAATTCATTTACAAGCCACAGATTCGAGCTTCGACTTTTCTAGAAGACTATCAAGGCTCTTTTTATATATTTAATATTTATTATATTATGTTTTGTTTCTTGTTTTTTTATTATTATTTTCGTATTACCTGGATCACCGTCTTCGGGCGTAGACTCCTTTTGTAAAGCACATTTTCTCAAATAGGTATTTTTATATGCATCCAGTTTCTTGCCTTTATACTTCACGGATGCCCAGCCGCATCCGCTCTTCTTTTCGGGATTGATAATGCGCTTGCAGTGCATAGCCCAGGCGCTGGGCGTTAAGAATATAGTTTCAGTCTCTTGTGATTTAATTTTACCGTCTGACAGCAAATCGCCCACAAATTTTTGTCCTAGATAATCAATAGTCATTAATGATTTGCCTGGCTGCAAAACATTTGCGGCCATCAGTGTTTGCAAGGTGACTGTCCGTCCAGTCCCATTGAATCCTTCATAGTTTTCTTTCGCCTGTGCAGAGGGAAAAGCAAAATCATTATAATTATATGAACTTAAATTAAGCCAATTGTCACAAATGAAGCTCACCTCATCATCGTTCTCGTCGTCGGGCGCATCGCTATCAACGTCCTTTTCGCATAAGCTGTCCTCCAGGATGGATATCCGGCGGGGTACACTATTTTCAGGTGGAGCAGCTTCTGTTTCCGCTGTTTCTGTATCGACTTCGGCTTCAGCGGCATCCGACACAGACAAATCGCGCTCCCCATCCGCTTCGCCGTCGCTTACATCGTCATTTGTTGTTTGTGGCGGCTGTGGCGTCGAATCGCCCTCACCATCACCCTCGCCATCTGTACTGCTGCCCATTTGATTTTCACGCGCTCCTAATGGCTCGCCGTCTGGCAGTAAACCATTTTCCACACCGTTTTCCATACGATTATTGTCTAGCCTTTAAAAAAAAAACTATCAAAAAGTCACTAAAAGCCGCAGCAGCCGCAGAATTTATGTATGTATTCCACGACTTTGCTTCTTCTTCTTCGTGCCTCAAACGGAGATTGTTGGACTTCTGTTAACTTAACATTCGCCAAAAGTATTATCGATAGCCGCAAGACCAAATAATTGAAATTAATTCATGCAAAAATATCTTTAAATATTTTTATAGCATTTCAGACTCATCAACTCGTTGAATAAATGCAGAAATTGCAAAATAAAATCTCCTGATTATCAATCGTTGTCCACAATAAATTATTAACATAACTAATAATACAGCTGTTTAAATATTTTATCGATAGTTTCCCACTCAGAGCGATTTGCAGATCCAAAGAAAATATATAAAAGTTTAGCGAAAAAATAAACAAACCCAGTTCATTATTTAAGTATAAATTGTAAGCCTACAATATACAGGATGCTGCCAAAACCTCGTGCTATAATAAAAAACTTCTGCAGAACATGTGTACAAGATTTTGATAAATCAAAAACCACTCAACCATGCCAACTCGTCTCTGCCATAACTGTTATACCAAAATCGGAATATTTTGCAAATTTACAGAGATGTCCATCTGCTCAAAAATTTCCCTAAACGAGATAACGGCCGAACATCTCGATATAATGGAAAATACCAAATTTAAACTGATATGCGCAACATCAGTGGCAACATGCTTTAAAGTTAAATCAGGCAATCGTGCTTTTCCCCTTGAGTTTCAGAATCTTATGTGAACTATATTTTCAGGAACTTGTGATAAACCGTCTCTAGGTAAAACTATATGTAAACATTGCACTCAGATATGAGAAACATTTCTTGATTTTCAAAAGACTGTGCAAGTGAGTCAACAATATCTCAAATCGACTGTAGATATGATAGGACTAAATAATAACTAAAAAAAATAGATAGAATATAATTTACAAAATTTTTTTAGAAAAATAATATTTGGCTTTTATTATTATTTTTAGCTCATTAACAAATCACAACTGGACATTTCCGAAACTGACGGTAATTGTGATATAATTGATTCATCCAAAGTATTAAATCAATGTCCATATTGTCAACGAGAGCTCAAACGCAAGGCCCACTTAAATGACCATGTGAGATTGGTCCACGAAGGGCTTCGTTCACATAAATGTGACTTTTGCGAGCGCTCTTTTGGATTGTCCAGAACCTTACGCATCCATCACTCGAAAAAACGTCCCTTCAAGTGCAACATTTGTCAGAAATCGTTTCGGCAAAAGACTGAATTGAATCTTCATATGAATAACCATTTATCTAACTCGCACTAATAACTTTGGCTTTCGGCGCACGCAAAACCATCTTCACATATCAAGGGACTCACACGGGAAAGCGCCCATACAATTGCAATATGTGTAATAAACAATATTCGAATAAGGCATTGAGTAACAATAATAGTTACCGGCACCAGAAATTTGAAAACCATGCTTGCTTTAATTATTTCGTTTTTGAATTCCCACCATTTTGAGACATCGGCAAAAATATCAAAACAATATATCAATAGTTGGAAAAATGAATTTATCGACAGATCTATCGATTGGTTATCGTAAAAAAGCGCGCAGGCACAAGGAAAGCCGGAATATACATATATAATTTGGACTTGTTCAATAAAGTGTTAAAGGTGTTCAATAATCTTTAATGGCACTCTGGGTAGACAAATACCGACCCCGTGAACTATCCAAATTGGATTATCATAAGGTAAGCATATATTTTTTGTGGTGTGCAATTCTTCGAATGAACTTGGTTATATTTTAGGATCAGGCTGAGAATCTCCGCAATCTATGCAAACAAAGTGATTTTCCCCATCTCATGTTCTACGGCCCGTCCGGAGCAGGCAAAAAGACTCGGATAATGTGTCTGCTGCGTGAAATGTATGGGGCCGGAGTGGAAAGACTTCGCAACGAAACAATGAACTTCACAACGCCATCAAATCGAAAGATTGATATAATGACAGTGGGGAGCAACTACCACCTGGAAGTGAATCCCTCAGATGCTGGCATGTACGATCGGACTGTTGTCATAGACTTAATCAAGCAAGTGGCACAAACGCACCAAATAGATGTCAACGGCCAGCGCGAGTTTAAAGTAATTGTTATATCTGAGGGAGATGAACTGACCAAAGACGCCCAGCATGCGCTGCGTCGCACCATGGAAAAATATGTTGCTACATGCCGCATTATACTCTCTGTTAATTCGACGTCTCGCATCATTCCAGCCATCCGCTCGCGTTGCCTGGGCATCCGAGTGCCAGCACCAAGCGAGGCAGAAATGATAGCCGTTCTACAAAACACATGCAAGCGCGAGGGCCTCGTATTGCCGCCGGAGCTGGCCAAGCGCGTGGTCGAGAAATCCGAAAGGAATATGCGAAGAGCTTTGCTGATGTTGGAGGCCTCCAAAGTGCAGCAATACCCCTTCACAGCGCAGCAACAAATCGCCGAGCTGGACTGGCAAGTGTATCTGCGCGAGACAGCAGCCCAAATTGTGAGCGAACAAACGCCTGCCAAACTGGAAAAGATACGGGATCGCTTGTACGAACTGCTCTCGCAAGGCGTGCCTCCAAATCTCATCTTTCGAGGCCTCGTCGAGCAGCTGGTCAACAACTGTGATATGTCCATCAAGGCCAAGACATTGGAGTACGCCACACAATACGAGCATCGCATGCAGAATGGAGCAAAGCATATTTTCCATTTGGAGGCATTCGTGGCTCAATTTATGAACATCTACAAAAAGTTTCTCGCCGAACTGGTGATGACTGATGATTTTTAACATAATTATTAATAATATATATAATCTTTCTATGAAACCCACAAAATACATTTGAAACTCTTAACCGAAAATTTGCTGCTGCTGTCGATTTTGTCTGTCAGTTAATATGGCTAACTTCATTTTATCGTCTGTGGTGCGTTTCACGGTCTCTATATATCGGGCAACCTCTTCCTCCAGCTTGGCATGTGCCTGCAATTGATCCGTTACAGATATTACATTTTATATACACTATGCACACTATTTCGATCACTTACTACTTCGTATTCGATATGCTGACTGCCATTGACGTGTAGGCCGTGCAGCAGTAGATCTATTGTGTTGATGGGAAACGCCAATTGTGGACTGGTCACGTTCACTGAATGCTGAAAGTCGAAATATTCACTGCCTGCCCCCAGCATGGCGCCAATCATTTCGCATGCCAAATCGGCAGCGTCGAGCAAGCGATTATGCTTCACCAGCAGATACAGCAGCTCCCGGGAGTTAGCCAGCTTGTATGAGTTGTACAACCATTGGGGCAGAAATGCATTCAAGTTAAGTATGCGATTAGCCACACATTTGCGTATTGAAGTTGACTCATTCAGCTCATTGTCGACCACTAGTTTCTGCAGCAGCGACCAAGCCATGTCCGCTGCACTGCTTCGATGAGGCAGATCTATAAAACAGGATATATAAATACATATATATTTTGCATGGTTTAATTCAATAAATTAAATCATATATACCGGCTAAATCATTGTTCTGCAGCCAGCACCAAGCATCCTTAGTCTTATCCTCAGAGATGCTAACACAGGCAGCCGTCAGACTTTCGAAAATGGGCAGCACCGAGAACGTATGGCCCCTTGCCAGCTTCAGTGCCGCTGTATATAGACCACAAGTGGCCAAAAGGTAAGAGAGCTCCTCAGCGTCGGCCATTTCATAGGCGCCGACATCCTTGCGATGCTGCGCCAGTTCTCTTAGAGCCTCTGCGTGTAGCAACTCTCGGCGAATATCGCTTAATTCAAGTACTACGACTTCATGGACTCTTTCAATCTCCTTTAAGTCGTCCTCGTTGTTGGACATTTCCATGGCAGCCTTGTCATCGCCAACAGTGGGCTTAGCAATCCATCTATAACGACTATCCACCAAATACAGTGAGTTAATGCAAACCAGTAACGACGAGCATCGATTCTGGAGCGCATCGGGTGCATCGCTGTCCACTTGTAGGCGCATGGCCTGCTCGTACATAACTGTCGCAGCTGTAAAACAAACATTATAATCAAATCACTATATATATATATATATATATATTCAAGCAGGCAATTTACCTTTACGCATATTTCCTCTGTTGGAATGGAATGCGTACAGAAAATTATAGACTTCGTTCTGATCGATACTCAGCGATCGTGCACGAGACTCAACAATGTTATCGAATTCCTCTTGCAGACCATTATAGGGCAGTTGCATGAGCAGATCAAAGCGTTTGCATTGGAATAACACAATTACCAACTGACGTAGACAATCCTTTCGCCGCGACGTATCCGCATTGTAGACCAAAGCATGATATGCATCCTCGTAGTGGCCCAGTTGCAAATGGTTATTAAACACTATAGACTGGAACATTGGCAACTGGGGATCATCCACAGTCAACTTGCTCATAGCTATATGGGCCAATTGAATGATAAAATCGTATGCCGAATGCTGCTCAAATAGCTGAATGACTTTGAGGTAATAATGGCAGAAGGCTTGCTTGACTTCGGCTTTTGTTGGCACAACTTTCTGTCGTTTGAGAACGTTTGAAAGTGTGGAATAGAGTGGAGTGTTTTTCAGAACTTGCTCAAACAAAAATGGATCCTTGAGCACACTCTCTTGAACTTTCTGGAACAAATTGATTGCTTTATGTGGCTCACCACAATCCAATAGCGAAACTGCCAACATGAAGCTTCCTGAAATATAATTAATAGTTAACAAACAAACCGAATGTAAGGGCCTTGAATATGTATATGTATTTACGTGAATCAGGTTTCTCGCTACACCAGCCCGACAATAGCCGCTCATAGTCTTGAATGATAATATGATGGCAAGTGCCAAAAAGCCACTCAAGGAATACATTATTCCATGCCTCTGGCCAACTGAAATAGAATATGTAAATTATTGCAATGAACCGAATCAAAGAATCTTTCCTACTTACAGCATTTGATTAATGCAGCCAACCAACTGTAGCAGAATCTGACGCATTGACAACTGCTGCACTAATGCATTGTGATCCTTCAACAGCATCGAAAGTGCGCTAAATAAGCCCTTTGATTGCAAGAACAGGCATAACAGCGTTGTTTGATTGTTCAAATATATTTTGCTCGAATAGGGCCTTGTATATCCGCTGAAGAGCTGTGCGCGCGTCAAACGCTGAATAGACACCTCACTGCACATGTAAAAAAACCAAAGATGTTGAAACCATTCTTAACTTAAAATAATTAGTTGTCAATTACAAGTTAACTGGCGTATTGAGGGAAATTGGTGTCTCGGAAATCCAGACAAGTGTGTAGTAGGAGTTCAAGAAATTCACATTAGTTGTAATAGTGTAGTCGCTCCTAGAAGCACCTCCATTTAAAATGTACTGTAGAATCAAAAGATTTCGGCAAACAGCAAATCTGACAAATCAAATAAAATATATTATTTAAATATATTATGAAACTGTTATTTGATTCCCACCGTATCATTGCCATTTGCTTGACAGTCTCAGCGAGAATTGAAATTCCATATTCGCTGCCAAACAATGCTCCTGTCGATTGGAGAAACCGTGTGGACTTCGAGTAACCACCTGAAAGTTATGTTTCCAGATTTAGCAGAAATCGAGAAATGCATTTAACATTATTCGTAATATACCTGCGGAGTCGGGATACGCATCTTCGTCAACAATGGCAAGGAAATCAAGCAACATGTTAATGGCTGCATCCATATTTGGGATCAATATCAGCTTCTTCCTGATTTGATCGATGCTTTCATTCGGCAGTGCGATTCCATCGCTATCATCTTCATCACTATTTTCATCATTCCTGGTAATTTGAAGCAACAATTTTAATAGAACTGCATCATCGCGTTGGTAGATTTTCTTTTCCATTTCGATTTTAATATCTTCGCTCAAAAATTTTTCCAATTGGTTTATGACCTCCATTAGTTGAATAAACCCGTGGGCAGCTACAATATCGTTTTGGCAATAAGGTGCCACAAATGATTCCACATCCTTGTTGTGTTCCCCAACAAGCATTAAATGTTCGAGCATTTCACAAGGACGCAGCAACGCAAAGGATTGCCTTCGAATAATGCAAACAGCATCCATGGCACCCAGAACGGATAAGCCCGTTGGCTCAGAGAACTTGATGTGATATTGCTCGCAGCAGGAGTAGAAGCGATCCCATAGTCTGGTCGCAATCTCCAAATACTCATTGTCACTGAGAACAAAGTCTTTCAATTCATTTTGTATCTCATCCTCGACCGCCTGGCAGACCTGCTCCTTGAGCATACCCATTGTTATCTGCTTAATATCAAACTGCATGTTGGCGCGCATGAACATCTGTGTAAGCAAAATAACCATAATTAATTTCCCATCGCTAGACACTCACAACTGGGAGCTTACATAAAGTGCCTTGGCGATCACGTTAAAATCAAATCGACCCGGATGAAATATATAGGAACAGTAGGCTTCTCGTGGGTCGACACCTTGCTCTATGGTGAGGCAATATCGATCCGGTGGAGGCTCCAATGCAGCGGACACCCATTTAAATGCCTTGTCAGCATCTAAGCAAATTGCAGACACATTGAATTCACCCTCAGCATTGCTCCACAATGTCCAAATATGCGAGCAAGTAGCATCGAAGTCAGCTAAATCCATTAGAGGAGCTGGCACCTTATGGCGCAGCGACAATCCTACAGTTTTAGTTTTTGCGTCGCTCGCTTGGTTGCAAACAATGCTCAAACAGAGGAATTCTGATTCTTTTTCATACGAAAAATATACACAGAAATTTTGGTCATCTATTTTGCGTAGCAAACTGTTCTGTGCTAAATTTATAAATAAATAATTAGATAAATATGATTACATTTTGAAAGCTTATAAAACTTACGAGCCTGAACGCCTTGCGACACGACACAGGCATAAGAGGCAACAATCTGTACATTGGACACCGACCACAATCTAAGCTCGTTGTTTCTATAAAGAACCAAGAGAAACATTTCGCCTTCGATGCGACTAAATTCCATTGATACAACTCCCTCCAAACTTTCGCCTCGACCACTGCAATAGAATTCAATCACTATTTATTTAATAAGTTATCTATTTCAAGACTTACGTTAGGGCGTCTTTAAGGTTGCTTAAAAAACGCGGCATTAAATGCGACTCTTTGATTTCATGTGAAACTGTGCCGCCCGTGCGACTGTTCATAATATAAAGCATCAGTTTTGAATGATAGTCGACTGCATAAAAGGCCTCTTCTTTATCTCCCAACATATCGCAGGCCGCAAGATGTGGCACATTGATAGCCATGGTTCCATCTAGCACATGGAAAGTGCTGCGGTCCTTCAAGAATGCGGAAGCATTATAAAATATGGAATTCCTAAGCGAATCCAGTGTAGTAGATGATGATAATTTTGTATTATCCGTGTGGAATGGAAACACAATCCTGTGAACACTACTGACGGTCACCACCAACAGATTGACGGTGTCTCCATGTTCGGTGAGTGAGACATTTAGAATCGCGGAATCCGTAAAGCGTAGGCGAAGATGGTTTCTCAGAAGCGACACATCTAAACTAACTTCAGATAGTTCCACAATGTCTTGATAGGTACGCCTGGAATATCAATCCGTTAATATAATATGTATTTAATCCAACCAATGCTTACCAATAAATAAAGCGATTCCTATTTTGGCCATTGGTCGAACAATTGTAGCAATAGCTACCCGACTTTCCAAATGTCTTGATATCCTGGAGTGTACTTTGTGTGCCTATTTTATTCAGAAAGAAAAAAAAATATATTTGTTTTGCATTATTTAAGAAACCTCTAAAAGGCTTCCAAATGGAGTGGTTCCTTACAACGTACCTGTATTTATTTCGACTTCTATCCACTCCTCGGGGTTTATATTTCTAGGAATAACTTCCCGATAGCTCATATTGAATATGGTGTTCATCTTAAATTAAAAATCTATTGCCAATTATTGTAAATATCCGGAAAATTTGCGGTAGCCGGCGAAAAACACGCGCGACTTATCGTTTGCTAATGTTATCGATTCCGTTAGAGATGACAAGTTACCAACAATGGCACAATTGAGTTCGATTTGAATAGTTATCGATTCAAAGTTCCGTAGTAATTTCAATAATATCGAATGCATGTGTGGAAAATTAAAACTCAGAATAATTGCTATATTCAGCAGCTCTTACTAATTATTCTATTGCCAAAAATATATATCTAACCATATTTGATATATTGTTCATTATGGAACTAGTAGCCCTTAGGAAGTAAGCAACACTGGTTGAATTATGACATTATAAGTAAACACTGTTAACTACAGTGTTCGAAATGTTAACACAACGCACCAAAGCATGTGCCGACTTTTTGTTAGTGAATTGCAAGAGCTATTTAGCTTTTGATCTGATGATAACATGACAGAAAATAGTGAAAATATGGATACGTTATCTCAAAATGAGGATGATATGCTCATTTGCCTGCCTGGAGATCGTCTGTGTCGCGTGGAGGATAACATCGTTGTAGGTCAAGGCACTTACGAACAAGGAGGCTATATTTATGCCAGCAAATCGGGAATTATCGATATTGACGAATCAAATGAAAAAGTAAATATAATGGCTTATATATGCGAATATAAATCTAATATTTTTCCATTTCAGTGCCAAATTGTAAGTGTACACAAGCCTGGCTTCCATTTGACCATTCCGGTAACCGGAGATGTTGTCACAGCTCGGGTTCTAGTGACGACACCAAAGTTCGCCAAGTGTGCGATATTTTGCGTAAGGAACGTGTTACTCGAGAGCAGTTACCGCGGTCTTCTGCGTAAGGAGGATGTGCGCGAAACGGATAAGGATCGTGTTGATATTTACAAGTCATTCAAGCCCGGCGATGTTATATTGGCGCGCGTTGTCAACCAAATGGAGCAATCCTTTTTGTTAAGCACAGCGGAGGCAGAGCTCGGCGTGGTGGTGGCCTATGCAAGTGATTATCGGAAGAATCGAATTCCCATGGTGCCCATTGGTTGGAGCGAAATGCAGTGTCCACAAACGACGGTTAAGGAGCCAAGAAAGGTGGCAAAAGTATTGCCCGAGAGTTCAATTAAGTCTGAAAAATAAAAGGGAAAACGACGTTGTCTTCATTTTTAATCAGTATCTTACTTGTCTTTCTATTTAAATTTAGAAACTGTAATATTAAGCTACAGATATTATTGCATATTGGAAAGATTTTTGTATGCAATTGAAGAAATTCTTGGATCTCTTCACTTTAAGCAATTTTTCTTGCATTCCTTTTCGGAACTAAACATGTTTTTCGTGCCCTGGCAGCCTCCATATTCAAAATATTCGCAGATTTTCTTTTCCTTTATAAAGCGCCACCTTGGGAGCATCGCCCGACAAGGACCTGTATTACTTGGTGGGTCGTCGCATAGCTCTGATGGATAGTATGATCATTTTGGTGGTCATTAGCTAATCAAGTGGCTTACTTACTCGCATTATAAGAGTAGCAGACATGAATAAAAAGTAGAAGAATTCCAATCATGGGCCAAATGTAGCATTTTATTTTCATTTTAAATGTAAATTTTCAGGGGTTCCTAATTTTGGATTTGTTGACAAACGTTCTTTGCATACTGACAATCAATCACCAGAATCTGATATTTTATTTGTTCATATGGCTTGGGCTTTTCCAAAGCCGTACTGTACTAGTAGGCATGAACGTCATGGTTTATACAGAACTATTCCAAAAAAATCAAGTATCAAGTTTTATGCTCTACTATTCTTAACTTTGTACTCTATTCTTGAGCAAGATAAATTGCAATTACGAATGTGCCGTTATTTTGTCGTTATTTTAGAAAAAGAAAAGTCGAATATACAGTGACCTACCAATGCAAGTTAAAAATCTGTGGCTCTGATAAGCTCGATCTCAGGATCGAAGCCTACATACAAACGGACAGACAGTCAGGCGTACATGTGCAAATCGACTCAGGTCGCCACTCTGATCAAGAATACATATGTATGTATGTATATTATGGATTCTGCCACACTTTCTTCTGCCTGCAGTATACATTTTCACGAGTTCATTATACCCTGATTTCCCATTTTAAATGGTTGAACGGTAAATTAATGGCAAATTAGAAATGGTGCTTAAGATAATTCATATATGTAATTGCCGGATAATATTATAAGACCAGAACTTTTCTTTTTTAGACGAGATAAAGTATTGATTCTTTAATCTGCTAAATATTTTCATGAATATTTTCATTAAAATCCTTACATATATTTTAGACCTTGAATTAATTAATTCGTCGTTAATCACCCAGTCAAACTTTTGTTATATTGCCAACCGTAATCAATTAATTACCCAATTTAATGGCCCTTTGATTCGATTGTTTTTCAGAAAAGGGCAATTTATGGGGCAAAGCTATAAATAGTTCTCGTGCAGAGCATAAAACAAATACCATTAGGAATTTGTCAATTCGGTGCTAAATGCAATAACAACACGAATTATGCTGCCAGCCAAAATGGAAATGGAATCGCGTGCTCGGGCATTATAGATGGCTCTAACTATTTCAATCCTTGTATCCCAGCGCAGGTAAGTAGGTCCGCAGGGTCAATGACTAAGTGGATGGCAGTGTTACAGGTGTGTGCACAACAAAAAACAGCTTAAAGCATACACACGCGCTCTCTCTCTCTCTCTCTCCCCCTCTCTCTCGCACTCTTTTCAACAAATATGTTGCAATGGACAGGGAAGTGGACAGACAGCCAACCAGCCAGCCAGCCAATCATTGTTTGATCAATAAGGAGCACAACTTGTTTTGGCCATTACGATGCCGGTTAATATTCAATTGAAAATAAATAAAACCAATATGATATTCAAATGAATCGCACGGCAGTCAGTAGACAGTGTCTTAGCCTTCCAAATGACACTAGGGGGCCTGCCCGACTGAGGCTATGTATCAGCCTGGAAACTGCTCATTCACAATACAACTACAGAGAGGGCAACGACAACGAGAACGGCAGCTCCGGAAAAATGGTCCAGATATCCCAAACTGAGGAGGATATTAAAATCTCCATTGAGTTGAATAGGCTGGTCACTCGGAAGCCAGATGTGGTGCTCCTGCCGCAGTACATCAAGTTCAACAATCCGCCGATATTCTTTGAGCGGCATCTGGCCCAGGAAATTGATGAAATGGCCAGCTACTGTCGCATCTTCAAGCACGAGGCGCGCATTGTGCTCGTCAAGAAGCAATTGGGGATCTGGCCGGAACTGTTCCAGAAGCTGGACAAGGAGGCGTTGATGAAGAAGCGTCTGGAAATCGCCGATCTGATCGTGGAACGCAATAAGAAACGTGACGAGATGGCTTCGGAGCGCTACGAGCACAAGCGACGCGCCGAAATCGAGAAGGAAGTCAAGCGTGAAGGAGACATGAGGGATCGCGTCAAGAAGTTCCAGGAGACCTCGCGCCACGAGGCGCTCATGGTGGGCGTGCGTAAAGAAACACATGTCAAGCCCAACAGCTCGCTGCATGGCAACAACTCCGCTGACAATGGCAACAACAAACAGCAGCCGGCAGTAGACGTGCGCCAGGCGACGCCAGTGGTGCGATATCAACCACCCTTGGCGATGTCAGCGGTGCGTGGCAATGGACGTATTAGCGTGAGCTTCTCCAGTCAACACAAGATGAACACGCCTAAGCGCGAGTCCCAGGAGGGAGTCCAGATGCCATTCACTATACACGATAAGCTGAATGGGAATCCGCCCACCCGGGAGAAGACTCCAATGGAGACGCTTGACGAGTGAAGCAGCATTTGCAGTTGAAAATTATAGGTGTGTGTATGCGCGTGTGTATGGGTGGGGGTGTGCTTGACCGGGGGTACATGTGTGTGTGTGTGGGTGGGCACGTATGTGTGGGTGTAACATTTCCAATTGATTATCCAAAAATAAATGTACATTATACATATGTCAAATATGTCAACTATTGCCCCTTGAAGGAAACATACTCTATAAAAGGAGTACTAGGCTTAGCTTTTTTAATTGGAATAGTTTTATTTTAAATTAGATAAAATATACAACAATTATTACATATGCATATCCATTATACTGTTTAGTAAGCTGTTCAAACAAAAATTAATTATACACGTCCGCGTACCTTTTCATTAGAGTGTTTCAGTATAGATTATTATTTAGAAAATATTTATATACTTGCATATGTATGTAAGATTAACGGTATATACTTTATATATTGCAATTTCATAGCGTGTGTGTAAAATGCTTTCGACTTCGCTTGGAGTTATACAATTTAATTATTTCCTATATTTACAAACTTTTCAATTGTCATTTTGTTGTTTATTGTTTAATTATCGTTTTTGTATTCGAGTTCTATAGTGTTTATATATCGGTTTAATATCCAAAAAAGCAAGTCTATCTCATCTACTCTATTTTATTTTCTTCTTTCAATTTCCAACCTGCACTCTTCCAGTCCACGCCCACACCGTCGGAGATGGGCGCACATGGAAGGAGTTAAAGACAAGATTTAGCAATAATTATCCTTATTGACATCCTGCATCAACGACACGAGTATTATTCCCTCACGAGGCTTAGGCTTAGCCATGCTACGAATATGAATCCATACAAATACCTTTTATATATAATATATATAAATATGTTAATTGAAATCAAATAAGATCTCAATTGCGATTACATATAGCTGTATATATATATATATATATATATATATATATATATATATATATCCATAATTACTATTGGTATGTGTATATATGCGTGTAAATATGTACAATTCGATTTAAATTTTGATTTAAGGTTTAGTATATAGTAGATAGGTATGTACGCATATCGGGATACTCTTATAAAGTATGGTAAAAAAAAGCTTTGGCGCTTTGTAGTAATCCAACTGGGTGTCCAATCATAGCACATCCTGCAACAGTTCTCTTTGGAATTACTTTTTCTTCTTGTTTTTAGCAATTTTATCCGGCTTAACCGAAGCCATCAGGGATCAAGCAGAGGTTTCATTGGTTTCCATCCAGCCCTCGCTGTCATCTTCACTATCAGAGTCTTCCGACTCAGACAGCTCAATGGCCACTCGCCTGGCCAAAATCGATGCCACATCCAACATTGCCGTATTCCGTTCAATTTCCTTCAACTCCGACTTTTCTACCTTCCGCAATATAATGCCTGAAATAGAACATTTTCAGAAAAGGGCCTTAAGGACGGTATATTCCATTACGTTACCATCTCGAATAGCTTTCATCAAATCGTTGCGTGGATCGTGGAATGGCGCCTGTATCTTTTTAGCACTCACAATGTGTGAGCCGCCATTTGGCTGGCAAAGCTGCAGTTCCCCATTGGCCAATGCCTTGGGCATAATTTGGTGTGGATGTGACTGCATTTGTACTGCACCGAGACCACCCTCCTCCACTGGTGGCGGTGGCGGTGGTGGCGGTGGCGCTACATTGGGTGGCGACATTTTTGGTGAGTGCTGAAAGAGAGAAAGTAAGCCGTAATATAAGACAAATCTAGAATGACCGAATAGATCAGTGCACCCACCTGATCGGGCACTGGAGGCGGCGGGGGCAAATCGCTCAGCGAGTTCAGCTGATTGCTGTTTGTGATGCCCATGCTGTTGAAAGTGTTGCTCAGCTGCGCCATGACCATATCGTTCGCATTCTGGGCACTATTGCTGGGCGCCATCTGCGGAGAGCCAGCTCGCGATGTGCTGTTGGTGCGGCCCAGTAGCTTAGCTGCCATATGACCACCGGCCATGCCGTTCATGCCCGACATTGGCGACACCACATCCGGCACTGGCGGCGGCGGTGGCAGTGCGTCCCGACTCGTCGACATGCTGCGTCCGCGCGTGGGCGTATTGGCATTGGATGCAGTGGGCGTGCCGCCGCCACTGCCATTCGAAGGCGGCGCTGGTGGCGGCTGCGATGGTCGTGGCTTTGTGCGCGATGGCGTCCCCGGTCCATAGATCTGCTCGGGCGACATTGCGCCCTGCCCGCTCTGCCCATAGATCCCATGCGACTGATGGTAAATTGAGCTGTCGTATAGCTGTTGTTGCTGTTGCTGCTGCTGCTGCATGTGCATGTGGGACGCTGCCGAGATGCCATTGGTGCCGTACGCAGCCGCGTATTGATTTGCCGCTGTCTGTGGTGTGAGGGGCTCGTAGCCAGTGCCATCGATCTGCTCCGACTGGTAGCTGCGCCGCAGCTCAATTGAATTGGGCCGCAGAGGGCGACTGTCGTAGATGCCCATGTCTGAAACGTAACCCAAAATTATTATTAATACACTCGGCTGTGAGTCAACAAAGGAAACATATATAATAAAATATATAAAAACAAGAAACTCCAATGATAAAACGGATAAAACGTATTAAGGATACACATAAATGGCAAAAGAGAACAAATTATTGCAAGCAAAGTCTGTATGTTTGTGAGTCTGCGAATAAAATGAGCTGTGTATTAATTAAAATTAGTTTAATTGATTAACGCACAGCGTCAATTAAAGTGCGTTAACTAGAGAAGACCAAGAAGTAAGGCTGGAATTGTTAGCAAAACGCAAGCTTCAATACTGAAAGTTGATAAACATATATTTTAAAGCGCATTTTTTTGCACAATGCCCAGCCCCCTTTTGAGCCTTAAGAGTTTAAAAAGAAAGAAAAATGGCAGAATTAGAAAGTGGAATAACTAATATACCCAGCTGAGCTCTTGGGCAGGAAGCTGGGGAATTTGTATGCGAAATTGAGTGTAGGATCAGGGGGAGTTCTAGAAAAAACTTAATGCTAATCGTGGCATTGCTAACTATGGGAGCCTACGGCGTGTTCATGTTTACAGTACTCTAATCAATATTAAAATTTTGTAATTGCTTGGCCAATGGGTGATCTTCGATACTACTGTTATTAAGCGATTGCTGTATACAACAGCTTAGTAACAGTAGTAGAGCATCAATTTTTGCTTCTTCCTGTTTAGATTGAGGATATCAATCTTGAATAAAATTATAAATGTTCATATATTTATTTATCTTTGATTCTGTAGTTGTTGTTGTTGTATATCTGCGGAACCTTTTAACCAAAATGCCTAGACAGAACAAGCTAAGTACACACGGAATGTACACAAAGTAAAGATAAGTACATAAAGGGAGGCTAAAGTGGCAAGTGATAGTAGTTAGGTACGATAGAAGTAGATGAAGGAACATTTATACATACAAACACAATCGATTTGGTTGTGTTTCGTATTTAACTGTTGATCTGACCTGTTATAGCGATAGCCGTTTGTTTTGCTAGATTACTGTTATTCTCCAAATGTGAGAGCATATTATAGGGCTTAACAGAATCTGGAAATGAGATGATCATGCGGTGTTTCGTTTAAGCTACTTAAAGTACAAATATGTATACACAGACTAGTTACAACAACAAATGAGGTTAAAACATATTAAAAGAGATTCGATAATGAATCGATTCAATTGGGTTCTTAGCTATGATAATGTCTGATCTTCGTTCCTTTCGAGAGAGCTTCATCGATTGAAAGGTCTATTTAATGTACTACATTTTGTATGCACGCACAATAGCAATCAATTGCTAACAATTGAAATTTTTGAATAGGCATTGCTTCAAATCCACGATTTTAGAAAATCAGCACAACTAACAACGGATTATAAATGTATGTATTACGTTGAGCCAATAATAATAACAGCAACTGACACATTTCTGTTACGTTCTTTTGCCAACTGTTAGCAATGTATACTAACAGCCATCGTTAACATTGAATATCAGTTACATTGGATGTTAACAGTTGCTAATCAATATATACAGTGGATGTTAACATTTGCTTAATAAGCTAATTCACATTTACAGCAAATTTGATTAGCAACTGATTACTGTATTCAATTACATTTACATCGAATGTTGAGAGTCGCTATCAACATTTTCATAGTATGTTGCATAACATACAGCGCATATTAACTGTCGTAATAACACACAAATATGTATCTGTTAAGATTCGTTAATAGCTTAAGTAACACGTCTGCAGGCCATGTGTCGGCATTATCTGTTAATTAACATTAATCATATATGCAAAGACTCGTCATTGAATAACATCTGGTAACATTTACAGTGCATGTTAAGACTCGCGCCTAACATTATCTCGATTTGTTAAATTGCATTATTATTGCCATTAGTTGATCAAGAATATAAGAATAGTCTTCTTTGATTCTATAGTGATGCTGAATAGATGAAGTGATGAGAAGAAGAATAATAATAATGTACTCTATAGTGGCGCTGATGTTTGGAGAAATGTACAAATGCATGAATCATATCGATTTGGAAGCTCTCGGCAAGCTTTGCAAGTAGCAAGCGATTGCAGGAAATTCAAATTACATGAAAACTCTTTAGAGGTACATACAAATTTGGATTAACATTTTGTGAATATTAAAACCAAAACGAAAGCCAAGAAATGCGCGCAGTCGGTTACGTTTCGAGTTTCGAGCTTCGATCTGCGGGACTCTGATGTACCGTACCTACTTGATATACACCATCGATATTCGCCGGCTGTTGATGTACGGGCCGCCTTCGACGTGCCAGCGTTCCCAGCTGAATATCGCAGTCAGCGTTTACAGTTTGGATTTCGATTAGCTGAGCTATATGTGCATACAGTAATTAGGCGTTAATCAATATGATTGATATGATATGGGTATAATTAGAGCAAGTGCTTAGTAAATACGCACTGCTTTGATTACACTTTTCAGTACAACGTTCAAGAGGTACACTCACTGTTAAGTAACATTTCATTAACACAATAACATTTCCTTGACATGTTAGACAACATAACAGTGGCCGTTAACATATCGAACTTTCAAGCTACTTTCTGCTACAATAGACATGGTAGAAGTGCAGCAAGTTTTTCTGAAACAGCTATTTCAGATTCTGATTTTACGACCTAGACGCCTAAACCTACGCCCGATGGTATTTTGGAAGTACTATGGAAAATACGTCTACTTACTGCCATATCCCGCTTCTTCATTTGGCATTGCGTTGGGCGTGCGATAGATAACATTGTTGGGCATCAGAGTTTCGCCATGGCCCAAGGCGATTTGTCGTTGCTTCTCACGCGTATTGTGCGGAGTTCGAACACGTTTGTTGTGACGGTTGCTTTGGCCGCCGCCAGCGCCTTCTTGTCGTGGTCGATGCGTCTTCTTGCCCTTGTCGTGCATCACGCGCTCCGTATCCTTGATCATCTCCTGTCGCCACAGCTCGAAGAAGTAATCGGGATCCGTGTAGAACTTAAGCCCGTCTTTGCCATCATCACGATAGACATTGAGCTTGTCCAGTGGCGGTGGCTTGTCGCACTGGGCATACGTCTCCAGCATGAGGGCGGGCATCGTGGACCGTGAGAAGATCTGCTGGTCGAATACCTTCGCCGATTTGAACGCCTTCTTGCGTGTTATATCGGTGAGTGGTACTTCCTCCACGGTGCTGTCCAGCTGGGTCACCTTTATTGCCAACCGATCAATGCGCGCCTGCAAGGAATTGGCTCGATCTCCAATGTTGCCCACATCCCGTGCCAGTTCGCCAAATACGTCCTCCGCATGTTTCGAGAGCGACGACAATTGCCGTATTATGTTTGTGAGAGTGGTATTTGTGACTGTCTCTAATTCCACAGACTGCAGCTCATCTTGCTGGTAAACAGATCGCGCGACATGCACGGGCTCTATGGAACGCTTGGGCAACGGCATGTTTATCTGCTAGATCCCCAAAGTTCCTACAACTAAGCAGCTTTGGCTTCGGCTAATGCCTTTTCATCGACTGCGAAATGAAAAGAGAAGAAGAGTATTAATTGGATCAACAACAATACAAAATCAATGTGATCGATTGTCTAAAGAAGCACTTGAACATATTTGCAGTTGCGGTAATAACATTTAATTAAGATTAACATATACTGTTCTTTACTTAGTGCATTACTAAAATTATCTCTACAACATTTGATTTTCGGTCACACTGTTATTTCTATAAACGCAGTTGTAAATTTGTATATATAATATACATAACACTTATGTTCATTAAAGGTCGTGTCTCTGTCAAAGTAATTTAATTTGTGCATATTTCTTAATGACGGCACGTGTTCACCTGGCACTGAGATAACCAAGCTCTAATTCTTTTCTTTTACTGTAATTCTGCAAAGTTACACGAAAAATCCGCCCCTTTGTTCTTAGCCAGAAGTGCTGTGCGGGTTTATTGCACGCAAGCTTTTTTTAGTTCGTTACGCTCCATAGATTTAACCAAGTTTCTTAACTGCAACAGAAGCGAATTTGATAGTAAAGAACAACTGCGAGATGAAAAACTCTAAAATGAAGTGTGATTGACGAAATCAAATGTCTAAATCAAATAAAAATTAAATTTACTATGAATATCTATTAGCCTTTAATCTTCATATTATAATATATACGTTGCATTACATTATAATATATGCATCATTATATGAACATTTTATAGAATAGTATATAACTTTATTTGTCATATACAATTTACTGCACGATTCGTGATTCGCTTGAACACCGGGCCAAGGTGTTTTGCACAGGCCAAGACACCCTCTATGTGAGTGTGTTTGTGTGCGTGTCTGAGAACTTTAAAGTGTATTCAATTGTAAATTTGCCAGCTAACGAATCGTCATTTGGCGTGGACCACACCCACAAGATATGAACCGAAAGTGATAAGCCCACAACAAGCACTCACTCCTTAAGCATATAATAGAGTATTATAATCGCAACTGCTTGCGAGCACTTCAGTTGCTTTTATCATTCGTCACTGCCATAAAAAAAAGTTGTTGCTTTAATGCCAACTGGAGCCCAAGTTGTCAATATGTCTCAGAGTGTGTGTGCACATGCATGTACATCCATACATATATTATACACACATACGTAGTTGTCAAACGAAGGCTACACACAAAACATTTTGATTCAAATTCGCATACACTTAAACACAGACGCATACGCGCGCAATAAATTGTATATTACTTTCAAAAATTATCAATTTCCTTTGCACAGTGGCAAGTCGTTAAACTAGATAGCACTAAATTTCATTTGGTCTCCGTCATCCCCTCTCAACTCACCTCACGGCACGCACACTTTTCACTCACTGCACAGCAATATTGGATTAGGTCTTAGCGCTATCATACAATTCAATTATCTTAATGCAATTTGTGAAAGTTAAATGCCTTATACTCTATACTGAATATGTATATTTTTACTTTTTCACTTTTTTGTAAATTTTTGGATTTCCACACCTTTATTGTAGTGGTGCACAATTGCATTAGCACTGGATTAATCGATGTGCAATCGAATAGATGGGTCAAAATTTCAAGTTGGAATTACAGAGTTGCTTCTCGATAAATTTGATCAATAATTGTGCACTTGCGGAAATTTAAAATGAAGCTATAAATATTTTCGAATAAACAACATATTATATTATATATATATAAACAATATAAAATATAGTATAGTTATAAATTTTCATTCTAATGCCTCATTGTAATCGATAACATATCGTAACAATCAACGAGTAGAACGACCCTGCTTCATTGCATTCTTAAGACGTAAGGTCTCCACATATTCCTGCAAAATTTTGTAGCCGCGTAATACATAAAATACTTTTTTTTAGATTCAAATACCATGGCTGGCGTTGCGACTAAAGGATCCAGTCTCATTAACAGTAAGTTTATTACTCCAGCAGATAATTTTTTCAATATTGTGCAAATTCCGGAACTTATGTAATGTTTCATTATAACAGGGCTGCTTGTGCAAGCAAGACCACAGTTGGACGTCTTTCTGAAATACGCCAAAGTGGAACTAACTCCACCAACTCCAGCCGATATTCCAGCTATTCGCCAAAGCATTGGCAATATAATCAAGGGTGCAAAGACCGGATCTTACAAAAACCTATCGGTCAAGGAAGCATGGCTTAACACCCTTGTCACTGCCGAGGTTATCTTCTGGTTCTATATTGGCGAGTGCATCGGCAAGCGTCACATCGTTGGCTACAAAGTCTAAATTTACAGTTACGAAAAATTAGCGGTTGACAAATAAATTGTCATCCCTAACGATTATGTATGTAAACGAATAAAATTTCAAAATTAAAAGTATCCATAATTTTGCGATTCAATGCTCCTATTTTAAAAGACGCCGTAGTTCTACAATTTTGCCTTGTGTATAACATAATATCGTGCAAACTGTGCAGATTCAGGTCTGTTTAAAATATTTAACACAATAACCTAGAAGCTCCACATAATAAAAACAAGAAAGCTCTAGTCGAGACTGCTCGCTACGAGATCCTCTGGCCTCTTCGAGCAACTGTTATTTCAATGATTATTCGCACATGCGGATAAACAGGCATATTCACGAATTGGCTGCAGTGGTGGCTAACTGCAACTTTCAGATTATGATTATAATATATGTAGTTATGTATGCATTTGCCAAAGCTCCGTCTCCAGTATTTGAAATACACCTTATACAAATATGATGGTGAGTGATGGATATAGGGGGTAAATATTAACAAAAACTAAATTTTATAAAATATGTACACTACCTGACCCGGCAACCGTTGCTTTACCATATCCATTATTTCTGGGGACTATTTTGTACTGAAATACAAAATCTATATATGTATATAAAACAAAGTTGTGTTTGTTACAAGTTTAATAGGTCGAGATCTGCTGGATCAATTTTCATGTTTTTTTTTTTAATTTATTCTGCGAATACTTGAAAAAAGCACTATCCCTAAAAGTTCTTTAATTTCGAAGTTGTCTTTGCATTGTCATTTAGAATTTTCTCAGTAGACTTGATACCAGTGACAGTATTCGGTCATGCTCTCATGAAAAACAATTATTCATGCACAATTTACTAATTATTAATACGTGAACGTGAATACATATTGTGTTTGAACTTATCAGTTAATGTTTGTTTGTTTTAGACATTAATTTGTGTAAATCTGTTTCGATTGTTTTATGTGGTTTTGTGCGAGTGCATATTCTGTAAATATGAGTTTCATTGTTGCTGATAATTTCTCAAAGCAATTGCTGAATATCGGTAATGGCCGTGTTTCTGTTAACGAATCGAGCGGTTTTATTTCATTTCCTCCGAATATGGGCAATTTCGTCTCATCAAAAATGAGCTTATTAACAAAGCATTTCCGGCTATCATTGCTAGCCATAAAAATACTAAATGGTTAAGTGAGCGAGCTATTTTGGCGGCTAAAAATAAAGATGTAGATTACTGAATTTTTGAACTCATTGGATGCGCCTGGTTTACCACCGCACAATTTACAACTGAAGGTTGGATAGGTAGTTACCATGCTTAGAAACTTAAACCACCCAAAACTGCAATGGAACGCGATTGGTGGTAAGAAAACTGTTGAGAAATGGGATTCACGCGTCGATATTAAAAGGAATTTAAAGATGAGTAAGTTCTTATTCCAAGGATTCCGATGCCCTTTGAGTTTAAACGAATTCCATTCCCGATTCGTCTTGCCTTCGCCATGACGGCCAATCCTTAACTATTTGTGGCCGCAATATAGAATATGTGTTTTTCTCATGGTCAATTGTACCGCATTACTTGTTCTTGCACCTGACGAAAAAACGAAGAATTTCTTTACCACAAGGTGGTCAAATGAAAATCCGATTAATAAATTAATTAGAGTACGTTTTCATCATCATTCATCTTAATAAATAGTATGCTTTATTTATTACTAATAATAATGACATTTAAAAGAAAATACAGATTAATCTCTCAGCGCAATGGAATGCACAATATTCTTTGTTAGGCACTCTTTAGCCAACGCAAACTGGATTGTTTCCCGACGCGAGAACATTCCATATATAGTTGTCCGTAGGAAAAATATGGTGTTTCCAAATCTAAGCCATATACAGACAACGTTTGGCCTAGTGACTTATTGATTGTCATCGCGTATGCCAATATAATTGCGAATTGAATCAGTTTGAATTCAATCAATGAGATCATCTTGCGAGTTGATGATTGTTCAGAAATTGGTTTGTAATTTTGTTCATCCAGTATTTTCGTGTTCAGCCATTTTTCCATTGACAATATCTGATGGTCTAACAGAATTGATGGCTATAGCGTAGCAAAAACAGCGAAGAATCTGGATCAATACCAAAAAGGAAGGTTCCGACGGTGTTTCGATTTTTGCGAGGTCTACTTTTCCTGATGAGCGACACATCCCGATCGGCTCATTTTTAAATTTAAGGGCATGTCAGTGCGAGCATTCCTTATACCAATGAGTCAGTTTGGAATGAGCGTAAAGTTATTGCCATAAGAAATAGATGTTGGCCGATTCTCAGACCTACCCGACCTGCACACAAAATTTCGTGGGAGTCGGTCGAATCGTTTCAGAGAAGTTTGGCAACAAACACCGCGACACGAGAATTTAATATATAATAATATGTATCTAAATTCAAAATTTGGCGACTTTACCTTCAAAGATGTAGCATGTTATTACTGATTTTCGACAAGGTTTTTAATCGATAACAAAAAAACGGGACATGTTATCGATGCCTGTTACATACTTTTAACAAAACCATTGCACCTCGATAGGGGGGTATAAAAAGAATGGGCTCAGGGTATAACGAAACATTTTCAGATAATCCAATAGTCCCGGTCGGCCATACGAATGTAGACAAACTTAATTTATTTGTTTTTTGTTCAAATTCAGTTTCTGGTATTCACTTAAATGTCTGAATAGTTAAATGTGTTCTTGATGGAATGTTAGTAACCTCCTTGGATGAATAAACTTTATTTGAACATAAACTTTTCAAAAATACAATTTAAGTATCAATTCTTGATGAAATCGTAATAAGAAATTATAACCTTAGCATATTACCTGTAATAAATCAATGCTGGTTAACATAATACAAGTTAGAGATAGTAGAATTTCTTCTCTAGTGCATTCTGTGGTATAGCATGCAGATGAGAACCAACAAGCGTCGCCAATTTCTTAGCGTATTGGCAAACAGCTGGCACCCGAGTGGTGGCCGACCAGTTGTAGTACAAATGGCACATTTTGTACGTTAGCTTTTGCACCTTATCGGGACTGAGGCCAATGTTGCTATATAGTACGTTGTAATTAGTTGGCGACACTGTGCCCTGACGCACCGTCTGAGACACAAGATAAAAATCGTATCGTTCGGGCAGCGTGACCACATCGTCAACGACAGTTCCTGGTAGCGGATTGCTTCTATTGTCAAGGAAGAATCGTGTATTTGATGATTTTGTGACCACAATGTATGCGAGCATCGGAGGAGTTGATGACACCTTCTTGTATTCAATACTAAGCTTCTCGACAACATCTTTGACCTCGTACTCGAACAATTGTTTCAAGGACCCTGAACCAACTCCATCGCGATAAAATACAATCCGATTGGGTAATTTCTGATGCTCCAGTTGATATTGCCTTAAAGCTTTCAATATCATTGGCCACAAATTATTGGCCAGAACATCATAGGCACAGCACTCCGCGACTGTGCTAAAGAAAGTCGCATTACGCTGTAAGTCCATTGAGGCCACCAATGCTCCATAGGCTTTGTTCCGATTGCTCGAACTTTTGGCTATATCGAATCCCATCGTCATTAAGCCCGACAAAGGCAGCTCGATCATCCAAGGGGTATAACCGATTTTGCAATTGATTTGTATTGCAATTTTGGTAGCAATAGTCAAACCATTTTTGTTACACCTTTTAGTTACGACTTGTGTGGGTATAGCCCTATCCACACATCCTCTCTTCTTTATCGCTGAGTACCTAAACAGAATAGAGTCGGATATGCACTGAGGTAACGTAAGAGTATAAACTAAAGTTACCTTTCAGGACTGTCGCTTGGAACAAAACATAGAATTAACTTTGGATCTTTTGTCGCACAATCGTCCAGAGCTTGAATATAGGTGCTTGTGCGATCATCATATATCATAACTCTGAAAACAATTTAAAATATGCTGTAAACACAATATGAATACGTAGATGTATATCAGGTTACTCTCTAGGACAACTAATATGAAAGCCCATTGCCATTGCAGCACGATTCAGATTTGATAGCAGAGTTCTCAATTCGGATGAACAACGTTTCGGTGAAATTACAGCCCATCGATCCAAACCATTTCTAGGCGTTGTCAACATCCGTTGATTACGAAATTGCCGAGTCCAGTCAGCAAAGTCTCCAGCACATAATCTATGTAAAGAGAGATTATTTTTTTAAACTGACTGAAATGGAAATGACAAAAACCCAACCGTGCATCATTGAATACAATTTTTTGTGGTGAAAGTACACGCCCTTGGATTTCGACAAGTTTTTCATCCAGTCTCATATTCCAATCAGTTAACACCTTCACACTTTCCGCTGTTGTATTCAATCGTCTGTTGAACGTTCTCAAACGTTCAATACGTCTTTCGGGATTCAATCGTGTATGATTCGACACCGCACGCATGAGACTGTGAACAAATTGAAATACATGTATTCAAGATTATTAATACTTTTCCACAAAGACTTACTTATGATTGGAACGCATATTATCCGTGATTCCAGTAACGCGACAAAGCTCAGGAATAAGGATTACAATTTCATTGGCGTTGCTTTTTTGAGCTTTGTCCGTATTTTTAGATATTAGCAGGGGCTGATCGTGATCTCTTATGCGAATGTTGTATTTCTAACAAACATATATAAAGCAAAATTAAGGATTAACTAAAATGATTTCTTATTCGCTACTCTTACCTTGAGATAGTATTCTATAAAAGAAACGTCGTTTCCCTTGCAGCTGAATGTGGCACGTGGATTTTGTGCGAAGTCGACATCGTTAATGCGATAAGTTTTATTATTATAGTCCGTGAGAACTATTAATCCAAGTACATTCATGCGAAAGTCTTCCTGATGCCGTTCAGGTCTGCTCGATGTTCGGCGAAGTATATCGTAAACGGTTTCTCTGCGCATTACCTTATGAGCAATCTCTGCGCAAACCAAGATGTCCTTCTCATGCTGTCGAATTGAGGTTTCGTATCCAGGCCAAAGTTCAATCGAGAACTCACCCACAGAAATCTTTAATTTTTAGTAGTTTAGTTCGCTTTCCAGAGTCAATTGTCAATTCATTAATAACTTACTCGTGCATGGGGATCAAAGAGATTACGTCCGACTTGTTCCAAATTAAGACCCTTCATTGAACGGCGCAATATCAAATTTAAGACTTGTAGAAATCGTGACTCAGCCGGCGATATATATCCCACGCACTTGATGGTAATTGTGTAATTGACACCCTGCCTTGAAGTGGTCTGCAGCACTGTAACATCTTCGTCGAATTTCTTCGAAGTAAAGAGCTGATGGCCATCAAATAGGTAGCCTGTACCTAAGCTTTTTGCATGCTCCGATAGCACGCCGCAGCGCACACGTACTAGCTCAATCTCCGGGGCAAAATTTACATGATAGTGGACAATGCGCCATTGTGGCTTCGTATTCAAACGGAAATAGTTTGATAGCAACTTAATTTGCTTGCCATCTGAGCCTTGTTTTGTTACCACGTCGGCAGGTCTTGTATTAACAATTTCAAAGCGATCAACGGGTCTGCGATCGGATTTGTATCCAGGACCACTAGGGTGAGATGATGTAGGTCCGACCGGATCACGAGGGCCACGGGATGCGCTCGCTGAATGGGATGTGGTAGCTGCGTGGGATGTCGATGCTGCATGGGATGTGGTAGCTGCGTGAGATGTCGATGCTGAATGAGATGTCGAGGGTGCATGGGACCTTGAAGTCCCACGCGAAGACGAAGCCTGTGATCTATCTCTATCATGAGATTTATAACCATCCCCACGAAATATCTTTGGACGCTGTTTTAAAATGATATAATTGAGTAATACATATTAGTACAAATAATCCACATTATTGTACAACCATTATTATATTTTGTTTAATTCTTTATTAAGGGTGCATCAAGTTACCGTTAATTTGATTAAACGGTTAAAATGCTTTTCACGGTCAGTCTGGCAACTTTAGCTTTTTTATGCGATAAGTGTAAATGTCGATAGCTTTCGATTATTTGTTGTAAAAAATCGTTTGATTCAAAATCAACGACAAAAGCATTTATGTGCATATACTACATAGACATCTATATATTTAAAACATACATACAAATGAACATCAGGAAAAACTTTTTTTCTTCACCTATCTTTTTTGCACAGAACACCACGCATTTGCTTTTATATAAATTGAATACAACTGTAGAACAACGTGCAGGAATAAAGGAGAGTGTAAACATGAACAAATCAAACGGTTGTTGCGATTTTCCTCATAGTACGTGTAAACAAACTTTTGCCGTCTCTTTTTAAACTTTTGTAAAAATAAGCATTTTTATTTTGAGTAAATGGAAAACATGGTATGTGTGCATATATGCGCATTAATACAATACGACACAAAATATGTACATAGATCACGTCTCAACATTTTATTTTCAAGTTTAAAAAATTTAGTTTTTTTATGGTTCTGAATCTCTACCAAATGTGTCATAAATTAAGTTTATACTAAATGTAGTAAATACATACATGTATATGTGTTAGGAGTTTATGCTTACAGAAACGAAGTTCAATTTCCCAACAAAATTATCTTTCCTTTTGCCGATTTAGAAATATTTACACATGCATACATACGTATGTACATAAATTTTCTTACAAGGACGCTATGTCATCGTATTATTTTTTCTGTGTAAAAGACACATACATACATTATACAAAATACATACATAACACGCCAGTATGCACACATACAACTGTAAAATAGTCCCATCAGCAAATTTTACTCAAGTGGCCCAACTTTCTGCTCTTAAGTCTGAGTGCAGATAACGGAATTCCGAGCGGGTAATGCCGACGATGGTGATTGTGTGGTTGTATATGTGAGTGCAAGGCATTTGCGAACATAATATGGCTTGCTTTCGATTTATGTACATATACACTCAAATTTGTTCATTTTATATATGCATATACATACAAATATAAAAATTTTGTTTATATTGTAAATCTAAGAGCTTTCAAAAAACTTACCGGCTGTTGTACCGCTTCAGGACTAATGTCAGAATCATTTAAGGGACGGCGACGACCCCGTTCTTGGTCACCCATGGCGGACTTTATTTTATTTTTATAATAACAGGATTTCGAGAACCTTTCCACACAAAACTTGAGATCCGAATGATTTGGTGGTCTAATTCCTAAAACTTATAATACTTATCGATGACGATGCCGGCTTCGATTTTAAGATTGTCTTAGCGATCGAAGCGCGATTTCGATGTATGAAGTTTTCGATTACACATATGAGGTATGATAAAATCATCAATTATTTTGCTTTAAAATTAATAATTAATAGACGTTGCATAGATATGTAATTTATTTTTAAATTAACTTAAATGAATAAATTTCGGAAATAATAACAGTTTTTCCTATTTTAGGGTTGTTTCTGTTAACAACATGCTTTCAACATGTTATGTTTACAGATACTCAACAGAATTCTTCTTCTTCCAACTAAAGAAAAATCGCAATAGGAAGGAATAGTGAAAATCAACAAACAAAATAATATTCATCTAAAATGGATGATATTAAAATATTTCAACGTTTTCTCAAAGATGTAAGGCATTTAAAGGATTTTGAATACTTTAAACATTTGGATCACAAGATAATCAATAAAAATAAAAGGAAACAAATATGTAAAGTAAAACCCAGACGTCCGCGTTTCAACCCAATGGAAGAAATGAACGAAATTGAGTTTAGAAAAAAATACCGATACACAAAAGAAAATATGAGGCGGATTATAGAAATCGTTCGAGATGACTTAGAAGTTGACTATTATGAACCAATGAAACGAAATCAAGTCCCAATAGACTTGCAAATTTTATCGGCCATTCGATTTTTCGGCGGCACTGAGGTATGTACATATACATACATATGTATGTAAATAGATGCATATCTAGATTCGTCTCCATTCCAGCATCCACAACTTACGGCTATGGTTCATGGCGTTAGCTTGCATACAATGGCCAAGATAACGCGTCGTGTAGCTGCCGTGTTATCATCAAAAGCGTCGCGTTATATCCGAATGCCAGCCACACTGTCCGAAAAGGAACGAATGATGCGTTCATTTCAATACCTTTCCAATATGCCCCAAGTAATTGGCGCAGTAGTGCAAACCAATGTGCGGTTGCAGTTGGAAAGTAGGAGTAGCTATAGTGGAACCGAGCTAGCTGCTAATAATGAGGAACTTGTTCATTTGCAAGTCGTGGCAGATGCCGAGCATAAGATCAAGGATTTGGATATACGTCTCCCTGAGGAACTAGGTCACAACACAGCGCAAGAGTTCTTTTCGTTATCACGGATCAAGGAAAGATTTGAACAAAATGAGTTCCGTGGTCGCATACTGCTTGGCAATGAATCCCTCTCTTGCTCCCATTTCCTCTTTACACCAGTTCGAAATCCTAAAAATAAATCCGAGGATCTCTATAATCAGGCCCATTCGGCAACCTTTGTGCCGGCAGTCAAGTGTCTGAACTATTGGATACGCCGCTTCGGAATTCTCAGTAGTGAACTCTTAGGGACATTTGGCTCAGCGAAGCATACAATTACCGCTTTGGCATTACTCCATAATATGGCAATGGAGTGGAATGATCCTTCCATAGGTATTTCTATTAAATCATAGATTGTTTAGTAATAATGTAACATAATTTCGTTTCTTTTAGATTCCGACTTTTCTCTGCCCATATACAAACCGAACATTTTTTGTTATCCCAATGGTACAACGATAAGCGAGGATCAACGCAATCGAAACGAATTTATTAAAACACATTTTTCTAGCAACTGAAAAGTATTATAATCAAGTGTAACGATGATTAATTTAAAATAATGTAGGCCCTTCAATTATATTCAAATACAGTTGTAAGCAATTAGATTTAATATAATTTATTTCAACAAAAAAATATATTTATAAATTAAAAAATAATAAATAATAATTTTTAAATTTAAATTTTCATTATTGAAAATGATCAATTCATAACATAATAATAATATTCAAAACATCTTGTATGTGGTGAAAATCAAACGGGCTCGCTTTTAATAAAATGTTAAACTAACAGCGGTGAGCTATTCTTGTTCTTGCATTGTTCGGAGCAAAGAACCACATTATAGTTCACAACTGAACTACACGTGCTGAGGTTGCAGCAGGTTTTGAGAGTGTGTTTTGTTTTGTTTGCTCTATCTACAATTGATATTTACATCAAAATTAAAATACAATATTTCATAGTTATAAGGCACGTTTAATACACACACAGTTAAGCACCTACGTATACAAATTTAACAAATTTACTTCGATTTGGCATCAAGGAATAAAGTTTTAAACAGCGGTTAAACACAGTTATTGTGCATTTGTTCGGCATTCAACAATTATAAAAAAAAAATTCTCAAAAAGCATTCGTTTTGCACAACGTTGAGATTTAGACCTATCATCCAAGTCCCAACGATTTATTTGCTATTGGAAATTAAGTGATTGCCCCTAAAACCGAGAGCAGAAGCAACATAGTGTGCAAAGGAGTTACAACACCTTATCTGAGGACATGTTTGTGACCTAAATTCAGCAACCCCCAATACAACCAGCTGATAGCTACTTGCAAAAAGTAGCACAACCCATTAGGCGATAAAAAAGTGAAGGTCATTATAATTTGAACGCGGTAAGCTTAAGTTTTAAAATATTGTGTATAATCGGACTTCTGTATTTCGACGTGTGTTTACAATGAGTAATAATAAATAAATAAATCTGTTTAATTTACATTAGTTGAGGCTACACCATAGCTGTGCGAGGGGAGTTTACAACATTAGTTTAAAAACATTAGTTAACTGAAATACTTTAATTGACGGGGAAATTTTTAAATATATACATATGTATAAAATAAATTTAAAAATGGAGAATTGTTTTCTTCCACATATTTTGATAGTTTTGGAAACCAATTACAATATGCATATATATGTATATTCGAATATCAATACGTATAACAGAATATCCTGCCTTACGAGGAAGGTTTGAAGAGTTTTCGTAGGCAATATTTAGTTATTTTCAAATTAGTTTAATTTCTTTGTATGATATTGCTTAATTTATCTAATTCAATTTTATTTAGAATAATTCTTTATTACTGACTGGAGCTCTCAGTATTAAAATGTTATTATTGAGATACATTTATGATATAAATGTTTATTATTTATGGAATTTATGTTTAAATAACTTATGGAACCACATATATGATGGCGTGGCTTATATCTAAATATTTACCTGCAATGAGATATTACAACTTTTGTGCACTTTTCTCTTTTTCCTCTCTCTCTCTCTCTCTCTCTCTCTCTCTCTCTCTCTCTCTCTCGCAGGTGCGTTCTTGTATGTGTGTGTGTTTTTGTATGCGTGTCTTATATATATATATATTTGTTTTGCTGTAACTTGATTAAGAGATAAATAGTATGTTCATGTATAACAATTCAGACGTTTATGGAAAATCGCCCGAGATGCACCAGTCCAATCAATATTTGAATGATAACGGAATTAATAGCAGCAACAACCGCAATCACAACAACAACAATATCAATAGAATTGTCAACAATGAGCACAATTTGAGGCATTGCAATAATGACAATGCATTCACCTACTTTAAGAACGGGAGTGCAAGTAGTCCGATCTGGAATTTAAAGAGCCCCATCCGTGCATCCAATCGTAGTCCAGCAAAAACCACGAAAGCGTCAAGACAAATAAATAAAACCTACTATGCTGTACCTGTAATGGAACAAGGACCGTATGCCAATGCATACCCCAATTCGTTTGCACCGCGCAAGACGACGATGACGTCGGCGGCCAACAACAATATCCACGCCTACCAGCCGCTACGCCAACAGCCCGCAGATTATTATAAGGGACCCGTCCAGCAAAAGGCGCGACATGGATATGGGCACAGTAATAGCGCGCCCAACCATCACGAATCGGCACACTATACGCAGGCATCCCTTGAAAAGGAACAATTCAAGAGGCAGCTAACGTCTCGAAGTACCTGCGAATATTTGGATGACGACTCAACGTACTCCCACAGCCATAGATCTGCGGCCGCGGACCTGAACTGGGAAAATATGATGTAATTCTGCAAAGATAAACCAAAAACCCAAACCCAATGCTTTTTATCCTTAAATATTTATTTAATTAGTTTTTAGTTATTAGTTGTTGATCCACACACAGTATCCACGCCTTTGTTGTTATACATACATATACATATTTTGTTAGTATTTTAGATGTAATTTATAATTTTTTACACACACGCACGCATACAGCCAACCTCTTAAGTTGCATTTTATTTATTGCATTTACAGTAACTTATTTTTTTCAATAACTCTATTTTTCTTGTTAGCTCTGATCGTCAACGCTTTCAGTCGGCAGATCAGCACTACGAGCATTATTTTTCGTATTTTTACAATCGTGCCCCAGAGAAGTTGCACAAATCAAAAACAAATACGATACGGTCGTATCAAACACCAATGAGCTTAGTACAAGAGACAACGGGTAAACGATCGTCGAGAAGGCCGGGAGCCCACAATGATAATAATCAAAATATAGAATACGATAGTTATTTACTGAAGGAGAACAATGAACTGCCGTTCGGCTACAATGATAGTGACTGGATAGACTTCCCCATCGATGGAATGGAGAACTCTGCAATCAAAATAGTCAATGCTAAAGATATTTATGAGGCAACGCCTCTTCGGGATGAACAGTATACCAATGAAAGTATACCCACTTCGCGCCGATGCGTCAAACTGGGCGATATACACGAAATAAGTAATACGGGTGAGTCCGTGACAATTAAAAGCAATTTAGCAAAGAAAACACTCAAAGCCAATGAGCCGCTGCCGTTGCCCCGTCTGCCGCTGACGCCCAAGAGAGGTCGAGGCGGACAAGCGGCTGCTAAGAAGGTGCTGCCCACTGTCCATCGCGTCCTCTTGTACAATAGTCAAAGCCCACGCTCGGCACGTAAGCATCATCCGTCGCCTAATTTACGCAGCCAAAACGTAAAGCCTCAACCCAACCCTCAACCCAAAGGTCAAACTGCAGGCGCCAATCAGGTCACGAACTATATACTGGAGGAGCCAGATGAGAAGAACCGCGAGTTTCGCGATGCTGATTTCGATAACGATGATGATTTAGATAACAGTAAGCTTCATTAGCTACTTACCTGCGAACTCGATACTAATTGTGCCTAAATTCAATTTCAGTCTCGAATTTCGATGATAGCGACACAGTGAGCATAAGCTCCGACACGGAAGATGGTTATAGGGCACATGCGTATAAGCTGACGCACTCGAGCGATCGTCTATTATCCTCACCCAAAGACTCTTCGACTCTGGTTTTTTCTCGGTCTTCCGATGAGGACCTTTGCAATCCAGAGTCCGTCTTGGTCTCCAGTCTCTTTCCATATGTGCCGCCCTATCTATCATTTTCATCGAACACCAAAAAAGGACCCAACGTCCCGCCAGAGCTGCACAGGATCTTGAAATGGCGGGTTACGAGCATTATGCCAAAAGTTGTTCGGCTCATCTTGGCAAACAGTGGCATGCGCATGCTGAAAAGTAAATAACTGAAGCTTTGAATTGAAATTATTGAGTTTGACTTGAACATCTCAATCCATCATAGAAACAAACGACTGGATGGGTGTGTGGGGCAAGCATTTGAAGTCGCCCTGCTTCAAAACGATTCGCTCGTATCAGAAAATAAATCACTTGCCTGGCTCCTTTCGCATTGGACGTAAGGACTCCTGCTGGAAAAACTTGCAGAGGCAGATGAGGAAACATAGCAATAGGGAGTTTGGCTTCATGCCACGCACCTATGTTATCCCCAACGATCTTTGCGCGCTGCGCAAACGTTGGCCAAAATATGCGCAACGTAACACGAAGTGGATTATAAAGCCACCGGCAAGCGCACGTGGTGCTGGCATTCGTGTGGTGTATCGTTGGGGTCAAATACCCAAGCGACGACCTCTCATTGTGCAGAAGTGGGTGAACCATAGATTGAATGCACATGATTCTGTAAATATTAAATGCCTTGTTTTATCCCTAGATATATTGAACGTCCCCTACTTATCAATGGCAGCAAATTCGACTTGCGCCTTTACGTTCTCGTAACCTCTGTCAATCCGTTGAGAGTGTTTATGTATCACAATGGCCTGGCACGTTTTGCTTCTGGTAAGATGTTTTCAATTGATTCCTATATGTCATGTTTAATGCTGTCCAATTCACAGTTAAATATAGTGCCAAGGCGGATACGTTAAATGATCGCTGCATGCATTTAACTAATTATAGCATCAACAAGTTTTCATCGAATTACTCCAAGAATGAGGATGTGAATGCGTGTCATGGCCACAAGTGGACCATTAAGTCGTTATGGACATATTTGGCTAATCGTGGTGTTCGCACAGATGGCCTCTGGGAAGCCCTGAGGAGTCTGGTGTTGCGCACCATTCTAGCTGGAGAGAATGGCATTAACAGCATGATAAGAGCAAATGTTGAGTCCAAATACAGTTGCTTTGAACTATTTGGCTTTGATGTAATATTAGATTCGGATCTGGTACCTTGGCTACTTGAGGTGAACATCTCACCTAGTTTACATTCCGAATTGCCACTGGATGCCCACGTTAAGGCGCCACTAGTGCAAGGCGTACTCAACACTGCCCTCTACAATGTAAGCTGACAATCCAAGTGTCATAAGACATATAAATCACGTACTCCCTATACACGCAGATACCACCAAAACTGAGCCAGGAAAAGCAAAGGGAATTAGCCGCAGAATTTTGTTTCCCTGCTGGCACACAAATGTGCTACGATAAACGTATGTACATTAACTATTTGTCGCGTGAAGAGAAAAACAAGCACAACACTTTCACACGGAAAAGCATGGAGCATCGGGAAGAGGTATACCACGCATAATTTAAACGATCATCCATTTCTTTTTTAAATTCAGTTTTGTGTGTTTTAAGTACATCGATGCGATTCTCGAAAAATTGACTCCCGATGACGTACGTTGCCTAATTATAGCGGAGGATGAATTGGCACGATGCACACCACTCGAACGCATCTTTCCTACAGACCAAACCTATAAATATCTTAAATACAATGACACTCCACGCTATTATAATCGCCTATTGGACGCTTGGGAGTCACGTTATGCTAATAATCGTACGGAAGGCATTGCCTTACTGCGCGACTATTGTCAAAGTAAATATCACTTGGAAGTTCCAGCTCCTCCTGCCAAAAAGGTAAGTTTCAAGCTGACTTACAGCAGCTATACTCCTTTTATGGACACCACCACTCGAAGCCACCCACACTTCATTTACACCCTACACATACGAAAACCAACTGAAAGAGGCTTACTTAAGATCTATACATATATACAAAATACATATACATCACCTATATATAACAATGTTTAAAGTACGCAAGTTGAAAACTATTTAATTACAAAAAATATTTGACTTGATTCTTGATTCTATTGAATTTTGAGGGCTGTTGGCGAGCTATTCAATCATTTTATTGGCGCTGTCGTGCTCTTTATTGTCGTAAGTTCTATCTGTTGACCCCATCATAGATACTCTCTCTCTCTCTCTCTCTCTCTAAAAGTTGCAAATCCACAAATGTATAACAATTTTAGGTAGAATCGAATCGTTCTCTATAATGAAACTATATTGTATGTGTAGAGGCATTTAACCGATAATATACTGACTATATATTAAACGTTTATACTCATAAGTCGTATATTGTGTGCTTAAGTATTATATTATTAACAACTAAATTATGTTTGCGATTACTGGATTATCGACTTTATAGTTTGTTTCCAGATAAAAAAAGATAGTCTCTATAACTGCTCTATAAATATTGAAAAGTAAACCGTTTGTTAATTGAAGATAGAGCTTGGCGAACTAAAAACGTAAATGTTTAATTTTCCTTTTATACCCTAAACCCATTTCGCTAAAAAAGATATGCATAAGAGTTCGTTGGTCTGACCAAAATCATTTATGTTACATCACTGCCATGTCCGATTGCTCGATAGTTTGGGTACTATTATCTCGAAAAGTACTAGTCAAAATTGTATTTCGGTCAACAGTTTTTCGCTGGGTTCACGGTATCTACTGGTCGTGCGCTCCCGACTAGATCGCTCTATCTTATTTGGTTTTTGTTAATTTGATGTATAGGTGAAATGTAACAATTAATGTAAGAAACGTAATTCAGTTGCAGTTGCTCTCAAAATATTAACAAAACGGAAATATTGAATAATATTAAATGATTTGGATGTGTTTTCTATTTATTTAAGTAGAGATAGGTCCGCGTTGGTATACAATAAATATACATATATATTACATACTAAAAACTCAATATATATTCATGTTAGTTAGCTAGTAAGTATTTTAACTTGTTTTGAGAAAGAACCTAATAAAACTACACTGAAATGGCTTTGAAATCATAAATGCAAGTTTAGTACTTGAAGGACACTGTTTTCCAGGTTGGGATCGGTATAAAATAATTCATATAAATGTTTGAACTCTCTTTCGAAAACATACTCACATTCTTAGTTGTGGTAGTTAGAAAATAGTTTTTGACACACACACTTTATACTCAATACAATAATTACACCTGAAATATCTTAGATATACAAATTTTATGAATTAAATCACATACAAATATAATACAAAGCACTAAAGAACAAATTAGTTCTGGACACTTATCACAAGGCTGCAAATCATAATTAATTAAAATTTACATTTTGTATCCTACTAATAATTTGTAACTCCTTTATATGTATATAGCAACAGGTAGAGCTTAATGTAGCAAAAGTATAATGCTTAATTATAATCTTCATAAGCTTTGAAAATACGAAAACATAATTTGACAGTCGTTTGTAGTGTATCATATCCCACTTATGGGGTCATGAGAATAAATTGGTATTCAAAACATTTACGTTCTTTTTTTTAGATTTGCAGTCTTATTAAGTAATCATCTTTTACCCCCTCTAAACTCGACATAGATACATTTTGGAAACAATTTGTACTTTAAATCGAATTAATCCTTTAATCTTATCATCGACATAATGCTTTTCACACAACTCGTTACGAACCAAATTTACTTTGAATCAACTTTCTATCAATGCTTTGTAATTGTAAAATTGCAGGACTACTTCATCAAATTGATGAGATGGATTTTAAAGTGATAAAACGCTGCAATCGGCATTTGATATTGGTCTTTTAATAATTAAATAGAAATCGTTTTTTCTTTCTCGACTCGCTCTGCACGTGTGTGTATATACAAACTATTGTACGATAGTATTAAGTCAGTTATACCTGTAATACTTGAAATATAAGCATACATTTTTCGTTTTACATTCGAAGTGAGCGTGTATCAAAAAACATACATATATACTATATTTAAAATTGTTAACAATTTAGTTAAATGTTGATGTTTATTATACGCGCAGATATTGTGCATACGACTGTTCCAAATCCAGATTACATACAGGGTCGATATATACATCTAAATATATATACATAATTATTGATCAAAATTGTTATTTAAGAAGCAAACCTGTGATTTGATTTAATTTGTTGAGGAGATGCGGCACCAGACCCTCGTAGATAATAAGTAGAACATTATTAAATAATATTTATTACGTTCAACTATTCCATATTACTATACTCATTTATTTGATCCCAGTTTTGAAACATTTCAATTCAAATCAGGTTTTTTTTTTTTCAATTTGTCCAACAAGAATTTTATGCCATTTAAATAAGTGAATTGATTCGAAATCCGAAAACCCTTCCCACCCAATATTTATATAAAATATGATTATTATATAATCTACCTAACTTAAATACTTTCAACCTTTAATCATATGTTGCACTGCCAAGTAGATGCGTTTTTGTCAAAGCTAGAATTTTTATTTGATTTTTCATTCAGAGTGTAAGTAGAGTAAAGAAAGAAATAGGGAATATCGTCAAGCAATTTAAAGAATATTTATTATTGCTTACTCTTCTGATAGAACGAAAATATATATCCATCATCCATATGTTTTAACGGATGCTACTTGGCTTTTTGGAATATGTGTATGTATGCATTTGAAAGTTATACTTTCAGTGCTTGTATACACCTCTTACCTAATTATATCATACCACTCTCAAGCTCAAGTTTAACTTACCAATTTTCTTTTTGATTATTAAATTTAAATAATTTGCATTCGTTCCCTAACACTCTTCTTATTTATTTATTTATTTTTTTTTTCTTTCTATATTTAGACACTAGAGAAATAACCACCACAAGTCACGCTTGAATTTATCAAAAAATAAATAAAATAAAAACACAATTGTAATGTAATATTTAGACGTTTTTTCCCTTTTAGATAATAAATTATGAATATGAAAAACTTGTTATTGTCACCTAGTAGAAGTGGAACTGAAGTACAACCAATATTACATTATATTGTATTATCTTATCAGTATACATATGTTCTATCAACAAATTAACAATGATTGTATATTTGGTTAATGTTGATGTGAATATAGTGTACATTCTCTACACACATATATTTTATATTCATATACAATAATTATTTTTAATATACGATCCAGAAATCAAAGACAAATTTTTAGTTTGAACGCCGTAACCCATTTATAAATATATGGATTTTATTTTGAGAGCTATATAAACAGCATGTTTTTTCAAGGGACTAAAATGTGTGAAAAAATATCAGTTTCGCATTGTTCTATGATAGATGTAGCTAAAAATAATCAATTACAAACACAAGACAACTCTAGTTGAAGTTAGTTCCTTGTAAGTTAAGATTTCGTGTTTGAAACAAGAATACAAATAAAAATTTTAATGTTGTATAAATAGGGATTTTAAAATATAATTAATATAAAAAACAAAAAATTAAAAAAAAAAAAACAAATATAGAGTATTTAGTAAATTGATTTTATTGATAAAGTTTCAATTTACTTTTTGTTGTAAATTAAGATAGATTTTACATATAATTGACTTGGCTGTTAGAATTAGAGTTTTAAAAACAGAATTGTTGAAAGAAACAAGAAACAACAGTAAAAATAAAAATAAAAATCATGTGCAAATTGTATTGTTACACATTCCATATTAATCTCAGCGAGGTGTTTTGATTTAGAAACATACTAAGTATATTGTACGATATCATCCACGTAATTAGCATATTTGCCAGCTTATCAACAAGTACATATATACTGCGTTTATAACCCCGACATCAATATAAGCGTGAGTTCACAAACATCTCTATTTAGTTTTGATTATCTAAAGAGTTCCCTGCTAAAATTAACATATTTCAAGACAACTTCTTAATAACATTGATGTCAGGATCTACCGGCGACTCAATACTCGTTCACTTTCCAATTGCTAAGTATCTTACTGTAAATTATATGTAGTCTTCCGGACTCACCAAACGAAACTTATAACTTGAAGATTGTATCTCCGACTGTTCAATGACGGTAGCGCTGTCAAATGTTATTCAGTAATTCTCAATTTTTTGTTTAGCGATCTATAAAGAATAATCAAATAATTAAATATATGAGCTTTTACTGTATTGTACCCCTTTCTCTTGGTGAACGAGTTCAAAAATATTTCATTTATTATACCTGAATCATAGTAATGTGAACGAAACGCTTTTATTGATTGTAATAAGGAACTTCGTATAAACGGACTATATGTGTAAGGTAAAATTTTACAAATTTTCATTTATATATATTTTTTTTCATAAGTCAGTTCTGGTGTTTTTGTTGTTTTTTTCGCGCTCTCTATCTCTCTGTCTCTCCCATTCATTGTTCTCATCATGCATTTGTTACAACATATACTAATCGAAGCTCTAAAATATAGGACTTGAACGTTAGCCCTGTTGAAGAGAGCACCGTCAAAAACGCGATGTCTGTGCCGGAAGAAGTACTAGAAGCATAAGATTACTGGATACCTACTAGTACTGCAAATGCGATCACAACAAATTTTAAACAGAGAGAAGCAAAACACCTGCATCAAGCAAACTGTTAAGGTAAGACCACGGATAGTTGTCATAAATATCCCCTTTAATCTTCCCCAAGCTACTATTTTCAAATTTCCCATTTTTATCTTCCAGATTCACTTATTGTTCATCTTGCTATACAAAAAGACTGAACATTTAATGGGTCATCATAAATTCCTTGAGACACTTAGAAGTAACTTGTCATCATACATCGATGCCGGTTTATCAATCAACTACATTACATCTAATTTTAAAGCTGAAAGCGTATTCAATGTGTTCGAAAACCAAGAAAATTTGTTGTATTATTCAATTCTAGGATCCAAATTTCTATGTACGCCTAATAAAAATTTATAATAGAATACAGACTACATTGAGTTAAAGTTACTGCCAAGTTGAAATGATACAAGCACGTAATGTACATGTTGTACATGTTGCATGTACATACATATGCATATGTACGTTAGTTAGACATGCATACATATGTATGTACATCCCATATCTAGCGATAAAGCCCTAACAGTGCATGCATACAATAATAATAATAATAATAATAATAATAATTCATATAAACAAAATTTAACGGGTAATTGATGATTTTTAGCTTTTTTGTCATTGCAATACCACTGTTAATGTTAATGGCTGCTTTACTTTAGGCTCGGGCAATGAAAACACATACATAAGTATGTACATGCGTATGTATATATTGTATTTATTTGTTGAATAATTTAATTTCTAGATGTACAATCTTAATGCAACTTTCAGAGCGTAATCATAATGCTCTAATGTATGAACCTTCCAAAGCCCAAGTATTTGAAATGCGTGTTTTACAAAATGGGGGCGAAGGGGGTGTGGTATCCAAACTCTGTTGATTACAAAATGTTTGTATTCATCATATGTACATATATACACATTAAATCTGAAGCTTCCAGGTCTAATAATGTTCAAATGAGGCTGAAAAAACAAATTCAATTTTTCGATTATTTTCGATAAAAATGTTATTGGATGATTTATCGAAAAAAAATAAGATAAACTCGTACTGCGTATGGTATACACGAGTATGCTCGCCAAATTTCAGCACTCATAGAGACGGACGGACGGACAGACAGACAGAGCTATGTACATATGTATATCAACTCAGCTCGTCGTCCCGATCAAGAATATATATATATATACTTTATGGCGTCTGCGATAATTCCTTCTGCCCGTTACATATTTTTACACAAAACCAGTATACCCTGATTCCCCATTTTCAATGGCTTCAGGGTATAAAAACAGTTCTGTCAGGGCAAATAGTTCCCTTGGCGCAGCGAGTTACGATGGCCGTCCACTTCTAAAACGATTTGAACTCTCTAAGTTCTTGTGCCTCCACCGAGGCACACTTGAACACAGCTAGTACATACGCTGTCCTCCCGCGACAACGGGACTTTTGCAACCTACCAAACATAATCGACCATTACAGCGACTCGCGAAACACAAAATAGCAAAGCCATAGGCATGAACATGCTGCACTCTAAATAATCTAACAAGTTCACCATTCATGCTGCGCTCGTATCAGACCAAAACAATCACCATGCTCTGTCATGGAAGTCGCATTCTTTGTTCAAGGGAATAGAACACAACACGCACACATACATACGACGGCCTGCAGAAAGGGAAATAGGGAAGCGCCAAAGTATTAATACTACTAAACCATATGTATGTACATACATACATGCATAACCATGTACAGTGGGCCATAAAAGTACATATTCTAAGAGCTTTAACTTTTTTTAACACAGCTAATAGCCATGTATGTACATACAGTATGTATGTAAGTATGTATGTATGTACATATGTATGTTGTATGGTGTCTTTTAACAATAAATGTACACACATAGATATGTACGTATACACATGTATTTGTTTGTGTGTTCATATGTACATATGTACATACATATCATATATACATATGTACATTGCTTTATTTATTTATTACTTATACTTAAAAATATGTACATACAATGTACATACATACATACATACAGTTGGCAAAAAAAAAGTTTAGGTACACTCCTTAAATCAACATTCATTGTTCAAAATACCCTTTAACTTACATATACGACAATCAATGAATTAAGATTAGTGACGGCCATTATTATTTAGAACAAGATAATGACCCGGAACGCACCTCTTATCCCAGAGGGAGTGGCTTTTATATAACACAAAGCAATTACATACTCCGCCACAGTCTCCAGACCTCAATGCAATTGAGCAGATTCCCTAAATTCAGTTTTGAGCTCCGATAGGGTTAAAATCACCGAAAATCACACCAAACCCTTAGTGCGAAGTATGCGTCGTCGACTGCTTACAGCAATTGCTGTAAAAGGCGATCGATCCTACTAAATATTTATAGTTTTTTTTTTTTTTGAAGTGTACCTAAGCTCTTTTGACATATTTTTCTTGTTTTTTTTTTACATATTATTTTGTCTAAGTCAACTGTACATTCATTTAAATAAGTTAAAGATAATGTTTTTATGTGGACAAATATACATATGTATAATTTAAAAGATCGCATCAACACTTTCGTTTATTTTAATGCAGTTAAGTTGAAAAATCGTTGTGTACCTATTCTTTTTTTTGCCGAATAGAAGAAACAGTGAAGAAACTAAACATACATACATACAAATATATGTATGTACATACATCAACATCTGTTCTTCGTTTACATAGTTGCTGATTGGTATAAGCCCAATTTTAATGGTTAATTGGTGAGTTTTTGCTTTTTATTTTGCTTCTCATTTCAATGCAGCTGTTAATGTATTAAAAAAAATATGTATATGTATGTACATATGTAGACATACAAGCACGCAATTTACACATCTTTGTGCATACATATCCATACATACATACATACATACATACAAATGTATGTACATAGTATGTAGACTGGGCAAAAAGACAGAAATTTGTTCCAAGGCCAAAAATCTGCAGATGAGCGACCACCACATGCTTCGATTTACTCGGCTCCGTTACTTCAGGCTCGGACAGTGAAAATGTGCTGTTATACCACCATCAAACGACAGTGTCTTTTAACAGTGCATGTACATACATACATACATATGTATGTATGTATGTATGAACTTAGCTTTGTCCATTATTTACATTTATTGTAATATACAGTCACGAACTAAATTATTGGCACATTAAGTTTTTTAACTTTAAAGCATTTGTTATTTTATTACCTGAATAGAATAGGAAATATTTTATATACTAACAAAAAAAAAGTATTGTACATACATATGTATGTATGCACTTTTTTTTTAAATTTATACATACATACACACATACATACATATCTACATACCAATTCGTCAAAAGTACTTTAAATATGTATGTATGTTATTTTGATTTTTAAGTATTTTAACATATTTTATTAAAGATATACATAAATACATATGTATGTATGTATGTATGTATGTATGTACATACATATGTCCATACAAAACAGCCGATAATTGTGCATGGTTGCCAGTTACAATAAGATATGTACATACAATGTACATGCGTATGTTTGTATGCATGCACTGTTAAAAGACACTATCGTTAGATGTGTATGTTTCATGCCTAGTATACATACATATGTATGTGTGCATGTACGTACATACACGCAACTTATACAAGTTTGCGTGCTTGTATGTACATATGTATGTAAATACATTTAAGTCATTAACAGTTACATTAGAATCATAGGGAAAAGAAAATGCAAAAAATTATCAATCACCCATTCAATTTAAGCTTATTCGAATCAGGAATTAAGAGGGCAGATGACTGTGAGTAGATCGTGATGATTTCACGCTAATCCAACTACTAACTTCAACGTAACGTTTAGTTTCTTATTCAAAATGCATTAACTGCCATCGATGCTGCATAGCATCGATATAAAATATTCTCAAAAATTTTCAAAGTAATTTAGGTCTTAGAAATGATGAATAATCATTTAAACTACATACATACATAGTATGTACATCTGTACATATGTTTGTATGTATTGATAATTGTGCATGCTGTAAATAACATTTAAATTTGACATGTTAACAGACGACCGAAGAGACTTCGGCGAAAGATTAACCGAAGCTCGAAGGTTCTTGGTTTGCAAATTTTCTTTATTTGTGTTTAGGCTCCTGAAGTGTAAGGATGGATAATTTACCAGCCAACTCGGGACGTTCACGTGGACGTGGACGTGGTACTAAGAGTAATGAAGATTTGAAGTGTGGACCGGCGCCCAAGCTGGTATGTCGAAAAAAAAAATAATAATAATAATAATAGATATATAAATAATAATAGATAATTAATAATAGATTGAATTTAAATTATTATTTAACTGTGAAGGTTTTAATTCACGTATGTAAGTTATGTGAATAAATCCCTGTAAATAAAAGTTGTGAAATTCTTTTTTCATCCGCTGGAATGCATTGTCCCTGTAATAAAAGTTGTGAAATTCTTTTTTCATCTGCTGGAATGCATTATATACATACATATGTATATCATTTTTCTATTTTTTACGGAGATTCAAGGTCTTTTTCTCGGCGCAACTGTGTTAGTGCAATCATAAGCCAGCTTCTGTCGCAGTTAATGTGTATTAGTGTGTGTGTATTTGTTCATTTGTTCGTAATGAATTTAAAAGAAGTGTGAAAGAATGTGTGGTACGCGAAACGCACGTAAGAAACGACGTCAAAATATAACGGAAGTTTGCTGGTTACTTTTTTGTGTGTGTTGGTATTCACTGTTCTCATGCGCGCGTTGCTTACGATTTTAGCTTTTATAGCTTTTTATACCCTGAACCGTCTGTCCACACAAATTTTTAAGCGTTTCTGTTAAAAATTTTGGCAGCTAGACTTTGACATTTATTTTTTTGCACGAGCGGGTTGAATATGTTTAAAAAATTCGATAACTATTTATTTTATCGATGAAAAACTAATTAAAAATTATTTATGCAATTAAATCTCCATCTTTAGAGCTAGATTCCAGTGTGGCGAACCTAGCCTATTTCAGGCTATTTTATTTTCATATACATATGTACGTATACATATATGTATGTATGTATATTGTAGAATATACATATGTATGTATTTAAATGAAATCGATATACATGTTTTATGAGCAATGTGTTTTTCGCGGCATACAACGGCAAATACCAATATAATCGGCATTTGTTATTTTCGTTTTTTTTTAGTGTGTTTGATATTGTATCCAACAGAATTGGCAATTAAATAAAAAAAAAAAAAACCAACTTGTTCTTAATTTTAGTTAAGGTAGTCCAATTACAAATAAAAATGTATTAATCAATTAATATTCTATAGTAAGCGGCTCATTTG